GATAAAGACCCAGGACTGTTGAGCAGCTAGAATCCTAAATGAGATGGATCATCATTGCGCCCCCAAAGGTCTCCTAGGTTCTCAGATGTTCATGCACTGTTGTTTAAAAAAAAAAAAAAGTGAAACTGTTTATACAAGGACTCACCTGTCCAGAGTTCACGGCTGCATGCTGGGCTGAGCAAGTGAAGATCACCATGGTGACAAACTTGACCAACTCAGTCACACAAGTAAATGTCTGAGGAATTCCTGTTGAGCAGAAACCCCCCCCCCCCAGCATCAATTGCATTGAGGTGAACAAACAAAGATTGGATTTATGTTTGGATTATAATTATATATACTGTTTATGATACACCCTCTGGTGCCCCTGGACACATCATCAGTGATGTAACATCTCAGTACTAAGGATCAATCAACTTTATCATAATAAGAATTGAACATTTCTTTGAAGCCAACCTGTTTCTGCTTGAGAAAAGAAACCATGTTCAAAAATGTCCAAAATCCACTTCTGAAGTTCAGAGTCCTGCTGGACTTCACTGTCACTCTTGTAGTAGTAGCCGAGCATTCCCTGCACAAACCTTTGAGAAATTGGATGAAATATGCTTTCATTATTTATTTCATTCATTTTACTTAGGGATGGTGGATATCTGTAAGTATTAGACACACCTTTCATTTTAAGAGAAGTACTAACACCTTCTGAGAAACTTTAATTTAAAAAATTGAACAATGTTTAACATTAGTCTGTACTTAAAGCTGAACTTAATATACTAATGTCTCATCTGAGTGCCTACAGGAACCACAGAACTTCCTGCGGTACTTGCTTAGCTTGATCACTCAACCATCCTAGGCGGCGCCTCCTATTTTGACCTCGGGACTTCCAGGCCATACTCCGCACCGGCCACTTGATTATGGCGCTCCATGCCCCTGCCTGCTAGCATCTTGCAGTCTACTCTTATGTGCTGGATTATCTCAGGGGCATTTTTACACAGCATGCAACTGGGGTCTTGCCTGATGTGATAGACCCCAGCCTCTATGGAGCTTGTTCCTGTGCTGCCAAGATTAGTGTCTCTGTGTTGTCTTTCACTCCAGCTTTGTCCAGTCACTGGTAGGATTTCTGGATGTCAGCCACTTCCTCTATCTGCTGGTGGTACATTCCACCAGCAGATAGAGGAATGCCCCACAGGAAGTAGTGTGGGGCATTGAGTCATAGGCCTTCTTGTAACCAATCCAGGCAGTGCACAGGTTGGTCAGCCTAGTCTTGCAGTTTTAAGCGACTGCTCTGTCTACTAGTAGCTGGTGTTTTGCTCTTCTGGTATTTCCATTTTCAGCGTCTCTCATCGACTAGAAGCTGGTTCATTTGTGCTGTCAGACACTCGTGGACTGCAGTCAGCTTCTTCAGCCAGTAGGCGTGAATCAAGTCAGGGCCTGGTGCTGTCCAACTCTTCATACTGGAGACCCTTTCTTGAATGACTCTGTTCACGGAGATTGCTGTGGTCTGCTCTTAGATCCACTAGCCACTGAGCATTGATGCCATGGGTTGGGTTCTTCTCCCATATGCTCTTCCACTATTGCTCTGTTTCCAGCCTTGGTGCTGCTATTCTCATATTGTTCCCCTGCCATTAAGAGTACACCATGGCTGGTTCTGTGGAGAACAGCTGGTTTATTCTCCTGCTTTCTATCTCTTTGGTGTACCTCTTCAAGTTTGCCAAGGCTATGAGTCTTTGCTTGGCCGTAGCACCTTTTTCATTGCACCTTTCTGCAGCTCCGATAGTTGGCTAACCCCCCTCCGTGCTACCCTTATCTTGGCCTCTATTCTCCTTCTCCATGTAGGGCACTGCTCCTTGTGGCTGTTGAACTTGTAGCGAAGTATCTCACTGATCACTGTTGCCGTGGTGTAGATCAGCTGGTTAGTCTCAGTCTTGTCCATAGTGCAGCATTCACATCATCTAGTATACGGGTGTCAAACTCCAGGCCTCGAGGGCAGGTGTCCTACAGGTTTTAGATATCACGCATGTGAATCGAATGATTAGTTCATAACCAGACGTCTGGAGAACTTCAAGACATTTTGAGGAGGTAATTTATCCATTTAAATCAGCTGTAATGGATCAAGGACACATATAAAACCTGCAGGACACCGGCCCTTGAGGCCTGGGGTTCGACACCCCTGATCTAGTAGATCTTCTGAGGGTACTTCACATAGTCTTAGTAACCAGCCATGAAGGATCCAGGTTTCCAGCTTTGCCATAATCTTATCTCTCAGGTCAGTTCCTCTCGTGCTCAATGATCCTTCTTCCATCGCACTTGGGGCCCCCACCCAATCTCAGGTGGAGGTGATGATATCTCCCCCTTGACCTGTCATCCTAGCTTCCCCTTGCCGTAGCATTTGTGTTGTACCTCGTCAATCTCTAGCTGTCTGAGCAGTTCCATCTTCTGAATGTTGGAAAACATTCCCCAAGTTGTTTCGCCATCAATCTGGATGCTGGGTATCGAAGATTCCATAGGTCCCTCATCCTAGTCACGTAACCCTTCCACTGGGGTTACTTGCTTAGTAGCATTCCAACAGCACCTGTTTTCATCTCTTTCTTGTGTGTTCATTTTGTGTTCATTTTTTCAATGATCTTTTATTGGGAAACCAAATTGAAAAAATAATGTTCCCGGTCCTGGGCCAACTCCCAGAATCCGGGAGGAGGCCCAGGGGCAGACCCAAGACACGCTGGAGAGATTATATCTCTTAGCTGGCCTGGGAACACCTTGGTGTTCCCCCAGACAAGCTGGAGGAGGTAGCTGGGGAGAGGGAGGTCTGGGCTTCTCTGCTTAGGATGCTGTCCCCGCGACCCGGCCCCCAATAAGCGGAAGACGATGGATGGATGGATGGATGGATGGAAAACAGAATTGTAAAATGACATAAATAAAATAAAAATAATAAACTAACAAATAATAAAATATTATTGTTATAACAGAACTGCAGCAGCTTGGTGGCGTCATTAAGAGGGCAAAACTACCATACCTGTGGATGATATCCCAAACCTTTAGGCCATCATCCCTGTAGTAGAAGTTTGGCACAGCTTCTAGGCCACGTTCAGCAATGTCATCTGGCATACAGAGGGAGCTGTAGGTCATTGAGGACACTGACCTCTTCAGGATTGTAAACATGCCCTCTCCACCTGATGATGCAAACTAGAGAATGGGTAGCTCACAGTTAGAGACAAATGTTGTACATGACACTGAAAAAGAAACAGTTATTTAGGTAAAGGTCTAGTGAATGTGCTGTTCTTTGCATACCTGAGTGAAAGCGCCAATCTCAGAAATGAGAAGGCGTCGAGCTAAGAAGTTGATCTGCAGAGTGTAGCGTGTGTGAAGTTTGAGGAGCTGAGGGAAAGAGGGAACTCTGTTAGTGCTAGATTGGGGCAAAACTTTGGCATTTATTATGCCGAGATACGCTGTTGCACAATCAAATGTCCTTTGTGGACACATTGATAAACTCAAATGCTTTCAACGTTATTTAAAATTATTTACAAACCAAAACACTGAGTTTCAGCAAACGTCAGTTACCTTGTACAGAGGATGCACCATGGGCACGTTGCGCAGCAGTGACACTGCAAAAACCTCAGCCAGCAAGTGCGTGCGCAGAAGGTGAACATTGAGCTGATGCTCATTGAAATCTGCACTTCTTACAAAAATCTTGGCGATCAACCAGTCGTACTCAGAATCAGTAGGAAGAAAGATCGGATTGTCATCTGATGGAGTCTGCTTCAGCTATACAAGGACAGGGTCAAGTGATAAGTCAAATTATTAGTTATTTTTAATATCTGTCTTTCTTCTACAGCATGTCTTTTGTCCTTCTCCCTCTCCCCTCACTCCCAACTTGTCGTGGGAGGTGGCTTCTGACAGAGGTTTCTTCCTGTTAAAAAGGGAGTTTTCCTTTCCAGTTGCCAAAGTGCTTGCTCACAAAGAATTGCCTGATTATTGGGATTTTCCTCTCATATTTACCATAGAAAATATATATATTTTGCTATGTAAATAAAGCTCATCTGAACTGAATTACCTGAATAGCAATCGGCATTAGTTTATTATCAGGAGCTTTGTGGAGCAGGACGAGAGGAGCCATCAAGTACTGCTTCTTCCCATTGATGGTGTTTGCTTTTACTCCATCCAGAAGCTTGTAGTCACACAGGAATATGTTCCCTTTCTGTTTGAAAGTTCAGGTTATTTCAGCAGTGTGTATATTCAGTGAATGTGTAAGTGCATTTATTGCAATGACCAAGTAGCTGATTTAAGAAACATTTCTTTCTCCTTTTTTTGTGTCTTTCTACAGTCACCTTCATTTCATCTGCAAGGTTGCAACGACTGCGGGGAAAGACCATGTCATCAGTGAGAGGGAAGTTACTGGGCAGGGTTGTACAACACTGGATCAAAATGGGGTTGACACCATTTAGAAACTGGTAGCCAAAGAAAGCATCTTCTTTCCAGTGTTCCTGAACATATTCTGCAAAAAAAAAAAGAAAAAGAAAAAGAATATGTTCCTTTTTTAAACTAGCCTACAAATTTTGCTACATTTCTAACTTTGTGTCAGAAGTTCAGTGTCTGAGAGTCTTGATTATGTGAAATGTATAAAAAGTCATAAGCTCTCTCTAGTGAGCTTTATTAGATATTGAAACCATATTCTACTTGTTAGATCACCTGTCATAAGATAAAATGAGACTTTATATTCTCAGTTTTAAACATCAATCAATAGCTATAAACATATATAATATATATATTTTTACAGAACAGACTGTATAATGTTCTTATTATTCAGGAAAATCGACTATGTATACTGATATAGTAATACTTCAAAGGTAACAGTTAAGTACATATTATTATGCACAAAGTATAAGTACTCGATACTCCAACTATGATGTTAGTTACCTGATATTTCAGTCTTTTTGCAGCAAAACACTCGATTGATGCTGTCAATATTATCCCACTTCTCCTTACGGTTATCCAGTCCCTTCAGCTTCAGCTCAGTCAGTCTGAAACAGAAGAGCACATTCATCTTATTTCTTTATTAAATTTAACATAGTTATAGTTTTGATAGGTAAAGAGAAAAAAAAGAACTTCACCCTGTGGAAGCAGTGTAGACAAACTCTGTAGTTTTGGTGAAGGAGAACTGAACCTCCGATGGCAGAAAAATTGGGTTTTGTGCCTTCAAGGAGTGAGGTATTCCCTCTGCATATGCATCCCAGCTGAGAAAAAGAAATTGCAGTTTCAATTCACAAAACATAATATATGAATAATATAGTTTGCAATGCATTTTTAAATTAATCCCAGCAGACAAACAATATATTGTAATGCTTCATTTTAAGGTTAAATATCATCAGTATTAGGATATTCAGCTATAACTGGACAGCATTTGTATTCCAGTTTCAGGGGCCATAAAGCTAAAATATGTATAAGCTCTGAATTCTCACCGATAGTCTTCCTCTCGCTGCTGAATCTCTTGCTGCCGACTGTACCTGCCAAGATGATGGTTGTCTTCAAAGACTCTCAGAGCTAAATAAGAAAAAACGGTTTCAAGTTGTTCTTGTAAATATGGTATATACTGTATTAGGAAACTGCTTCAGCCTCATTACAACCTTTGTTTTACATCTGCAATGGTTTGAACAAGATTTAAGATGAGCACAGTTTCCCAAACCTTTTCCATCTTTGAAGCGGTACACCTTGCTATCAGCAATCCAGCGGTAGACGGGAAAGCTGTAGATGTCTCCTTCAGGGGATTTCACTTCCACCTTGGCACAAAACCAATCATCTTCTGGGAACAGTGGGAGAGACTGTTTGTCTAACTCTATCAGCACAAGATTTCCAAGGGAAGTGGAGCAGGACACCTTAAACTTTGATACCTAAAGAAATGACATAGTAGTTTGCGCTGAGCTTCAACACTCGAGCATACAATTCCTCTTATAATTTACTGTGGTCCATGAAGTGAACTGTTTGCTTTGACCATCTTCATGGTGATAGATTTCAACTTTACATAAATCACAGTTAATAATTCCCTTATTTCCCTAAAAGTTTGCATGTATAATGTCATATAGGGAACCTGAAAAAATCATGGAGGTGGCCATCCCAGACTTACAGCTCCTCTGACAAAGGATGAAGCCCCTTTCAAGCCCATGAGCCACTTGCGATCACTCTCCCCATCTGTGCCCACCAGCTTAATGAAGACATTGTTGAGAGTAGTAGAATTAAGGCGATCACCAGTGAATACGGTCACTTTATACTGCACCATTTTTCAAATCCTGGTAGGGGGAGAATTATAATCACTCTTAGCACTGATTTGGAAATGTAAGCAGTTAAAATTGTGACATCACAATTAAAAGAATTTGAAGACATTATCTAAATGCCTTTTTTGACCCACAATTTCTGACTGAAATCCTGTGAAAACATCTCTTACCTTTGTAAATGAGACGAGGAAGTTTCTTAGAATAACTGTTCTGTCAGAACTTGCCCCTACAATTTCTTTTTATTTACTCAGTTTAGTGGGAGTGTCCAGTCAGTTGCATCAATCATGTATTGTGATGAAATGCCAGATAAGGTTATCCAAATAATAAAATCTGAAGGAAGTGTTATCTTATTCATGTTAAATTAGCTTTGCCACTGTGAAATGTTGACTATAAACTGCACCACTCTTTTTATTGAGCTGTCAAAGCCCTTGACACTGCTGATTTGTCATTTTCCTAGAAGTTATTGGAACTAGGCCTTTCAAATGAAGGCTGGTTTACTAATTACCTTTCTGACTGCAAGCAGTGCGCACAGTTTAACGGTCTCTCTTTGAGTTTTTAAAATGTCACTACTGGAGTGATCTGTCTTACATTATTTGATATTAATGTTAAGGGTGTGGGACAAAAGCTAAATATATTTTATAATTTATATGTAGATGACACAATTATTTTTGTGCTCATACCACCAACATGGTTTTCCAACAATTACAATTAGCTTTTGATGAGCTCTGGCTCATTTTAAATGGAAAGAAGTCATAGTGTTTCAAGTACACAGAGTATGGGCAGTATTTCCCTCTACTGTACCTTTTCAAGGTTTTTCTATTGAAACTCATAAAAAACTCTTTACTCCTCCTTGACGATAGTGATATAGTTTGCATGAATAACCCTGCTCCTTCTCTCTATCTCTTGGACTCTCTTTATCGTGGGGCATTTAGGATCTAGAAGTGGCTGTAAACCTTTAAGACACCGCTGCACTTTACAATCTCTAGCTGATTTGTCTTCATTGGAATCACAAAGGATGTTCCCTCACTCTATATGACTATTCACTGGGATTGTATCTATAAATTAATGGCTGACTTATACCACTTTATCTTTAAATCTATTTCTGGTTTATACAGTTGTTGTCAGATTACATATTCAGTTATAGTCTGTGGTCTCAAATTTTTTTTTACACTCACAATTCCGTCAGTTCATACAGAAGGATTTGCAGCTCTTTCACTTGATTTTGTTTGCAGAGTTTAAAAGATGTGTAAGCGATTTTGTGAATTCCTCAATGGGAACTTGTTCTTGATTTTAATATAATGTTGTAAACGGACAGTTTTCGCTATTTGATTCTGTTGTTCTGATTCTGATGTTTCTTTTTTATTGCTTCTACTTTATTGCTTGAATTTTATTATGCCTATCTGAAAAAGTGTCTGTGAAGGTTCTCAGTCATCCAGGTAATCGTAGTCAAAGGAGCTTGCAAAGAAAAGCGTCTGGACTTCTTTAAGTTGCTTGAAGATGTTTCACCTCTCATCCGAGAAGCTTCTTCAGTTCTAACGTCAAATGGTGGAGAGTCCCAGATATAAACCTAGTGGGAGTGACCCCCCACAGAGGGACAAAAGGACCCCCTGATGATCCTCTAATCGCCTGAGCAAAGGTGTGAAACTGGGTGTGGGTCCCAATCAGCCAGGGTTTCGGGTGAACTCTTTGTGAAACCTGGCCCCACCTCATCATGCGAATTCCTAAGGTCAGATGGCCCAGGATGTGAGTGGGTGTTAAGGCGTCTGGGGAGGGAACTCAAAACTGGATTATAGATGGCAGACGGTTGGTGTCGTAAACCACCGCCTCTGTTCAAAGATGGTCGCTCACAGTGGACATAGATGGCTTCTTTCACTCCTCTTTCAAACCATCTGTCCTCTCTGTCCAAAATGTGAACATTGGCATCCTTGAAGGAGTGTCCTTTATCCTTAAGATGCAGATGGACTGCTGAGTTTTGTCCTGTGGAGGTGGCTCTTCTATGTTTTGCCATGCACTTGTCTCTCCAATGTAGAGGTCTGGGCATTCCTGTACAGTGCAGCGAGGAATGTCCCTCTGTGGGGGGATACTCCCACTAGGTTTATATCTGGGACTCTCCACCATTTGACCTTAGAACTGAAGAAGCTTCTCGGATGAGAGGTGAAACGTCTTCAAGCAACTTAAAGAAGTCCAGACACTTTTCTTTGCAAGCTCCTTTGACTATCTGAAAAAGGTTTCTCTAGTAAACAAACAATGAGTGTTAATAGGATAACCTGTTTAAATACAGGTTAAAAAAATATTTAGGTCAGTGGTGATTTCTTGCACATGACGATGGCAAGGTGCACTTTTGTTCTTATTATACCAAGATTACTACACTCCTCAGTGACAATAATACCCATGAAGCCCTAAGGAGAGATCCCACAAACAACTACAAAAAGAAAGTCGTCAGGTGGGTTCGACAACTTGAAAAGGAAACGCCATTATCCCCATTGAACTTCTGCAGGGAGCCACCATATTATTGACACTAGCTCTTTCGCAATGTCAAATACCTTGTTTTTGCACACATTTTTAAAAGTTATTTCCAACTTTACATAAAAATGCCTCAGCCAATGCCTCAGGTGTTGTTGGGGTTTTTTTGTACAACTATTTAAAACTATTTACAGAATAATCAGCTATCATGCATTCAATACAATTCAATTCTACTTATATAGAACCACATCACAACAGCAGTTGCATCGAGGCACTTTATATTGTAAGGAAAAGACCCCAAAATAATACAGATAATACATTTGCCTTATCATTGTCTCTTCTCTGCAGAGGAATCCTGTGTGCTCTGAATGAGTTACAAACTGTTTTCCCCTGTAGCTCAGGATCTGTAGCTCACAATTCCCATTGTTGGCATTATTGAATTTTGCTTCAGTCTATATAAATCAGTGTCAGTGCACCAGTGCTGCATATTGAGTCTACCAAAAAAAAACTATTGTTGATTGTTGTGATGAGTTCCGGTGAATTTGGTTTCACTTAATTCATTTAGCTTACTCATCAGTTGAAAGAAATAAGTACAGCATGGAAAAGTCTTCGAAACATTCAGTGTCATTATTCACAACTCTGTGTTGAGGTCTTTTAGTAAAGTTAAAGTAAAAAGTAGACATGAAATATTTGAATGTCTTGAAGTAAAATGCCACTTAGATAAAACTTATAATAAATGCACTTAGGTTTTGTCACAGCAGGACTGAACAGACTCACATGCAGGCTCTAGGTCTTGAAAGCACAAGAGTCTTTATTACGATACACCAGGTGATTATTTACAAAAGCGAAGGGAAAGCCGGGCTCCGGGGGTCCACACACGAACGGGAAAGACGCCGAAAGTCACACACACACTCCGTCCACTCCTCACGCTCCTCTTCACACTCCAATCACTCAGGTAACACAGGGGTTGGTCCAGGGAATCTGTACACAGAGACACGAAGGGATTATAAGGCAAATCGCTGTGAAAACACTCTAGAAGTAACTGAGCTGGGGTTACACTGACGAGGGTCGGCAATGGTCCAGCAATGAGAAACACAGAGCTGCCATCTTATAAAGGAGCTGGAACACTCGTGATGAGCCACAGGTGCGTGATTGCGACCAGGTGCGTGGGCCAAGGGCAGGAGCCCACAGGTGAGCTCCGCCCAGGCAGAGGGAGGAGGGAAAGAGGGGGAGGGAGAGAGCAGGAACAAAAGAAGAATATAAAAACATATGTAGCCATGCTGAGCCGACCGGGTAGGCACAGGGACCCTGACAGGTTTGGCCTTTTTGTTCAGGTTTGATCTATAAATGAGTTTGAAGCTTTGGTACATTTGTCTGAGGCTGGGATGTCTACATGACTGATTCAACAGCTTTCACAATTTTATAAACTGAACTAAAACTAGTTTTTCAATAAAAACAATAAAAAAAACTTAAAGAAGAAATCTGGAAACTAACTGAATCCAATACAATTTTATTTGTAAAGCACTTTAAAATTAAAATAGCCCTATATTAAAAAAAGAAAACAAGATAAAACAACATAGAATCAACTAAAATAAAAATAAAAACAATAAAAAAATAAAAAATAAAAACCAACATCTCACGTGGTGTCAAAGGCCAGGGTAAAGAGGTGGGTTTTCAGGAGTGACTTTAAAACAGGTATGGAACTGGCCTGTCTAATCTCTAAAGGGAGATCGTTCCACAGTTTGGGAGCTGCTACAGCAAAAGCACGATCTCCTCTAAGTTTACGCCCAGTCCTAGGTACATTCAGGAGCAGCTGATCAGCTGACCTGAGAGAGCGGGTGGGTGTATAAGGCTGTAACATGGGGCTAGGCCATGGAGAGCTTTAAAAGCAAATAAAATAATTTTAAAATGAATCCTAAAAGAAATGGGCAGCCAGTGAAGTGAAGCTAAAACAGGGGAAATGTGCTCAAACTTTAGAGTGCCTGTTAAAAGACAAGCTGCGGTATTTTGCACCCTCTGTAGATGGGTAATATATGATATGCTGAACCCTATATAAAGTGCATTAAAGTAATCCAGCCGAGTGGTTAGGTTTAACTGAAGCTAGACCAAAGTGATTTTTTTAAATAAAAATTAATAAACTGAACTAATAATAAACTTATGACCCAGTATTGTAGACCTCTTTTTGTTAAAAGGGAGTTTTTCCTTCCTATCATCGCCAAGTGCTTACTCACAGGGGATATTTTCAGTATTGTAGGTCTTTACAACTGCTGTGAATTGGTGCTATATAAATAAAGCTCAGGTGAACTGAATTAGGTAAACAGCAATCAGCATTAGTTTATCATCAGGAGCTCTGTGGTGTAGTATTTGTGGAACAAATACTGCTTCTTGTAATTGGTGGTTTGCTTTAGTCACACAGGAATGTGCTCCCTTTCTGTCTGGAAGTTCAGAATATTGTAACAGAGTAGATACAACATTGGCTCAGTGAATGTGTACGTTATTGCTAAGATCAAGTACTTGATACAAGAAAATGTTCTTTCTACTTTTTTACAAGTGTGAGACGATCGCTTTCATTTAATTTGCCAGGCTGCAGAATTTAAAACATTATATATACACAATATACTCTGCAATGTCTTGAATTATAATTAGTTAACCCTAATCCAGCCAACAATTATTGTAATGTTTCATTTAAACCTTAAGTATGCATAATATTACCAGATTCAGCTGTAGCTGGAGGGCATTTGCATGTTAGTTTCAGGGGCCATAAAGCTCAAATGTGTGCGTGCTCTGAGCTCTCTTCCTGTTGCTGCTTAAGCTCCTGCTGTACCTGACTGAACCTGCCTAGATGAGGGATGTCTTCAAAGAGTCTCAGAGCAAAAAAGAAAATAAGGTTCTTGTAAATACGGTATACTTGGAACTTGCATTAACCTCCTTTTTACAATGCTCCAGGAGGGGTAAAAAGGAGGCCACATGATTGAATGAATGAATTCCATGTATGACCCTGCTCATTCTCTCTATCAGTTGGACTCTGCTTATCACAGAGCTTTAAAATTTATAACTCACAGCAAAACCTTCAAGACACTGCTGTACTTTATATTCTCTAGCTGACTTGTCTTCACTAGAACTACACAGGATGGTTCACTGGTATTTTATCTATAAAAATATGGTTTACTCACCTCTTATCAGATTACATGTTCAGTCATGCTGTGGTCTCCATGACTTCATGACATTCATTGTAAACAGTTCGTACAGAGTTTAGAAAGAGGGCTTTCCCCTTACCCTGCAGAAGGATTTACAGCTCTTTTAACTGATTTTTGTAAATATTATGCAATTTTCATTATTTTACTCTTTCTATTTTATTGCTGTAATTATGCTAAAACATCTCTCCTGTAAATGAAACATTGAGTCTTAAGTGTCATGGCTGCGGCGGCAGTTGTGTGGGGCTAAAGGGAAAAGGACCCAAAAGCAGGCATTGACGTAGATGTGATGAGTGAGCTTTATTTATATGATGTGATAATTCAGACAGAAACAGAGGTGGCGAGGATAGAAACTAAGATAAATAAAGTCAAAGGAGCTTGCAAAGAAACATCTTCAAGTAACTTAAAGAAGTCCAGACGCTTTTCTTTGCAAGCTCCTTTGACTACGATGACCTGGATGACTGAGAACCTTCACAGACATAAGATAAATAAACTAGGAAAACTACACAAACTTGAAACCATGACTCGCAGAATGATATGCAGGATGACACATGGAGGTAAAACAGAGTGCAACATGGGAAGATGCACGAAGGTAATACAGAGTGACTCAGGGAGTCAAACACAAAACACTGGATCACTCCCAGTACCTTGACAGAAACCCAGGTGGGTGGTGGGGGGCCCAGGACTTGAAACAAAATCAGAGCTCACAAAAACAGTTCAAACACAGTTCAGGGGGTCGCCCTGGGGGTCGATGGCTCAATAGCTCATAACAGAGCAGGTCTGGAGGCCAGCCGTGCAGAAGGCAGCGACGGTGAAAATACTGTATAAATGCTTTTTTTTTTTTTTTTTAATTCAGCAATTTAGCCTGGTGGTGTTGTAACATTTTGGGCCCAACTTAGTACCAACTGAGCCTTGTAGCCACAAGTTACTTGAATATTGTTTCTGGCTATGTCGTTTCCTTTACAACTGCAGTGCACCCATCTTTTGATGGGTGCCTTCAGCAGATACAACAAAGAGTTTTAATATGACAATGACTTCACAGTATGAAAATGGTCACAGTTATCAGATTCAGCTATGATGAATGGTGAAAGATTGAGAACCCAAATGTAGGACAGGGTAGATGAAGGTTGAACTTAAAGTTGAGCATTGTTTCCAGGAAAAGAGCCGACGGTCCAGACACTGGTTGCCAAAATAAAACAGGAAGGAGAAAATCACTGGTCGAGACTTGACCCATAAATCTAGGAAAAAATATAATATACAAGACTAAGGACTGAGAACAGAACTAGCGCACTAAGTTAGCACTAAGGGAACATGAATATAAAGCCAAGAAAAACCAAGAATTAGAGATTTACTAGATATTTACTAAAAAAAGTCCAAACAACTCAACACCGCTGAATAACATAACAAGACCCATAACTATTGTCACCAGTGAATGTGGGAGTGAATGTGAGTGCGAATGGTTGTCTGTCTCTGTGTGTTAGCCCTGCGACAGACTGTCAACCCGTGCAGAGTGTACCCTGCCTCTCGCCCTTTGACAGCTGGGATAGGCTCCAGCAGCCCCCGCAACCCTAAGAAAAAGGATAAGCGGAAGCGAATGGGTGGATGGTGTTAAATGACGCTCTGTATAATGCAGTCATATTATAGTAATGAGAGCTGACAAGATACCATACAACCCCCCCCCAAAAAAAACAAACAAACTAGAAAATAATTTCTACAATGGAAACCAGAAGTGTAGGATGGCCAACATTAAACAACAGCCACTGTAGAGCGGGAGAAGATTAACATAGGATTTACAGGATGTGAGAAATGAGTAAGAAAAACGTGTCTGTAATGCTATGAATTCCATCTGTGGTCATACACACACACTGTCACAAAAACTCGAAGGAAATCCAAATACAGTGAGAGGTCTTCACAGACACAGAGTTTAGCTCCAAAAAATAAACTAAGGGCCAAAGGGCAGAGCACAATCTAATGATGGCTGAGTATTTACTTTAGCCTTAAGAAGCCAGCTTGATAACCAGATGAGGAACAGGTGAGTTAATTAGTAGAGCTTTGGCAGGTGAGCATTTTACAGGGAGACAGACAAACACAGATTGATCAACTCTGAGGTAAACAGAACATGCCCTCAAACATACACATGCATTTAAGACAGAAGAGAGACATATTTCTTAAATTAAATAAATGTCTGTATGGGAGAAATACAGGAGTTCTCTCAATTTTTTTAAGCCAAAAAAGCTCAGAGGCTGAGACTTCTTTAAGACAGACTTTAACAAAAATCAATCACTAAAAAAAGTCATGATTTGTTCACAATAATATCAGTTTTCTTTGACATGTTTTTGAAAGGATGGGACAGTTTATTGAAAATCAGAAGAGGTTTTAAGTTTCTAATCTATAGAACACATCACAGCAGATGGATAAAATTCACAAATCAGCATACAATAATTAGAAACGTTAAGTTCTATTTCAGCTATTTCATCAGTAAAAGTCAGAACTTTCTTTGGCTGCTTTTATTTGAAGAGGGAACTGAATTTTATCTCACAGCTGAGTCTTCTAATATTCAAATGGCCACGCTGTTTTCTACCTCTGCTGGATCCATGTAGGTGTATGGCACTTCTAAACGCTTGTGTCTGGCTTTAATGACTAAACTCAAATCTTCCAGCTCCATCTGAAAATCCTTTAATATCTTGCGGGGAATCTCCTCAGTGAAATGGTCCTCTGGGTACTGGCCAAGGGGAACCTAATAAGAACAATGATACATTCAGTTTTTCTTCAACAGCATTCAAATTATTTATGAAATTAGCCCCTAAAAATTATTGCATACATATGTATTTCTTTTCACAAAACTTGAATTTAAACATAATTTCTGTCATTCTTAATGAAATCTTTGCTCCTTACAAAGTCACGGGACTGCTTGCTGAGCAGCCACATGGTGGCCATGCCCTGAGCTGTTACATTGACATCAGGGAAGGTGGCCAACATCGTGGCCTCGCTTGTCGTCCCTTTTGTGGTTGGTGGTGGGAGTTGCAGGGAGATGGGAGTGTTGGGCATCCAGCCACCATAGTCATACTGCATTTAATCAAGAAGTAAAGGATAACTGATTAATAAGAGCAATAATCATGGTTTTTCATCTATCAGAAGATCATGGCTTCATAATACAGGCCTTTCAACAGTTGAAAACACATTTGATGCATCATGAAATGAAACACTAACACAGTAGACCCAGGACTGTTTAGCAGAATCATATATCAGACGAGAATGGGACACTCCTCTCTCAGATCTCCTCAGTTCCCAGATGTTTGTGGACTGTTGGTAAAAGAAGAGGGGATGCTACAGTGTGTCAGAGTAGTACACAAAGCCCCGTCCTACCTTTTTTAAATATATTTTTCTGCCATCAAATACAAAATGAGGCATTATTTTTCTTGTAAGGTTACATTTTCTCAGTTTAAACATTTCATATGTTTACTATGTTCTATTGTAAATACATCTACAAATCAATGAATGATTCTGTTTTTATTTACATTTTAAATAATTAGGTTGAATTAGGTTTTATATACCTGTCCACTGTTCACAGCTGCATGCTGGGCTGAGCAGGTGAAGATCACCATGGTGACAAATTTGGCCAACGCAGTCACACAGGTAAATCTCTGAGGAATTCCTGTTAAACACAGAAAAATAACTGTGTCACTTAAATATATTTAGGCGAACAAACAAAAGTTACTTATTTTTGCAATATAATCCTAAATGGATAAATCACCATTATCATCATCATCGTAAATATTGAAATATTGTATAAAGCCCACCTGTTTCTGCTTGAGAAAGGAACCCGTGTTCAAAAATGTCCAAAATCCACTTCTGAAGTTCAGAGTCCTCCTGGACCTCACGGTCACTCTTGTAGTAGTAGCCGAGCATTCCCTGCACAAACCTTTGAGAAATGGGAATACACTGAGTAAAATATATTTTCGATTCTTCGATACCCAAGATGGCAAAACAACTAGTAGCTCAGTGTTCCAACATTCGAAAGAAGGGACTGCTCTCACAGCTAGAGATTGACGAGGTACAACATAAATGCTACGGCAAGGGGGAGCCAGGACGCCAGGTCAGGGGGGAGATATCATCACCCCCACCCGAGATTGGGTACAAAGCCCCAAGTGCGATAGGAGAAGGATTGTTGAGTGCGAGAGGAACTGACCTGAAAGATAGGATCATGGCCAAGCTTGAAACCTGGATCCCCCATAGCCGGTTACCAAGATTACGTGAAGTATCCTCAGAAGGTCTGCTGGATGATGTTAATGCAGCACTACGGACAATACTTACAACCCCAATTACCGACACTAACAACCTGATCTACAATACGGCAGCAGTGATCAGTGAGATGCTTGGCTACAAGTTGAACAGCCACTTCTCTCCATGGAGGGGCAGTACCCTCCATGGAGAAGGAGGCTAGAGGGCAAGGTCAAAGTAGCACGGAGGGAGGTTAGCCAACTAACGGAATTGCAGAAAGGTGCGACAAAGAAGGTGCATAAGAAATACAGCAAGCTGTCCATACCTGAGGCCTTGGAAACTGCCAAGCAAAGACTCACAGCCTTGGCCAGCCGCTTGAGGAGGTACACCAGAGAGATAGAAGGCAGGAGAATAAAC